ACTGGGGAAAAGCTAGCTTTTGTGTAAAACAGACACTAAGGGGCCAGAAAATTTTAAACTTCAGAAACTTAAAAAAGTATATATATAGTAAGACAATTTTTCTGAACTTCCCCAAAAGAGAATAACCCTTGTGAAAACCAATAGCGCTCTCTATGTGATCCCTTTCAAAATTTGTTGAAATGAAAGACAAACTGTGCATGAGTATGAATTACAATGTATCTGTAGAACTGTGATCTCTGCTCCATTTCATTTAAGAAGAACTTCTATCTTGATACTGAATTGACCTCAATCACTACAACTGGCTTATTCAAGTCTGTTCTACTTCTGCCTCTGTCCTACAGATGTACGGTGGATTTAGTTGGAGGAAGTACTGGCTAATAACAAAAAATAGTAGCTAATAAATAAAAAAGAAAGCCATATTTTACATGTTTGCCTTATGGTTTATTCCATTAATTTCTGAAAATAAGTGTTTTTTTAATCAGGCTGGGCATGGTGGATCATGCCTGTAATCCCAGCACTTAGGGAGGCTGAGGCAGGTGGATCACTTGAAGTCAGAGGTTCAAGACAGCCTGGCCAACATAGTGAAACCTCATCTCTACCAAAATTACAAAAATTAGCTGGGCATGGGGATGCACAGCTGTAATCCCAGCTACTTCGGTGGCTGAGGCAGTTTTTTAGCAATCATGCTATATTTTTTAATTGTCAAATTCTTAAATATTAAAGAAATTCCATCAATGTTGATATGATGAAAAAGGAACCTAATTTACATCCTCTTAAGGGAGAAATTTACCCTGCATTTGCATAGGAAAAGTTTTGTTAGTGAGAATTCAGATAGAAAATGCCATACAAAAAGACCTTTAAATTCTAACTTTTGCCCAGTTAATGATGAAGTAAGACTAAACACATGAGACAGCAAGAGAAGGTGGCATAAACAACTGGTCAGATAAAGTGAAGGCAATCATAAATCCAGGGACATCCGCAATGACAGAAATCGGAAGCCTCAAGCTATGTATCTCTGTTTTCCCTGCCCTCTGGCAGGAATCTTCTCTCATGTACATGGTATCTTACTGGTCCAAATTTTAAAGAAACTTATGTCCTCTGCCACTCGCGGTGGATCAGTCCTGTAATCCCAGCACTTTGGGAGGTTGAGACAGAGAGATCACGAGGTTGGGAGTTCAAGACCAGCCTGGCCAGCATGGTGAAACCCTGTGTCTACTAAAAATACGAAAAAGTAGCCAGCCCTGGTGGCACATGTCTGTAGTCCTAGCTACTCAGGGAGGCTGAGGCTGGAGAATTGCTTGAACCCGGGAGGCAGAGGTTGCAGTGAGCCAAGATCGTGCCACTGAACTCCAGGCTGGGCAATGAGAGCGGAACTCTAAATAAATAACTATGTTCTCCCTTTTTCTTCAGTGTTCTATGTATTAACAACTTCTAGTCAACAAGTAATTTGAATTAACAATAAAACATACTCAAATTTCTTTCATGTTATATTTTTTTCCTCGATTCCTCACCTTTCCGTAGTTACCATCTTACCTCTTTTTATACTTTCATGTTAAAACTTCTTCAAGGAGTTGTATAAACATGCTACCTTGATTTTCTTTTTTTTTTTTTTTTCTCCAATCGGGCTTCTTCCTCTATCCTGCTGTACTGAAGTCTTGAGGTCATGGAATCATGTGGACAGTCCAGTGGACTGGAACATCTGATAAACTTTGCCATTGCCTGCCGTGACACTCTATTCCTTCTTTGGCTGTTACTTCCTAGTTATTCCTTGTCAGACTCCTTTAGGATTTTATCTTCCACTCTGTAGTCATTAAATGTTAGCTCCTTAAGAGTCATTCCATGCAATTTTTTCTACTGTATACTCTTATCCATTCCCATAGTTTAAAAGTTATCGTCTGCACAGTGATAACTCATAAATTCATCTTTTCCATCCAGATGTCTTCTCTGACCTTTACTTGCATGTATTCAATTGAAAACTCCACTTTATGTTTCAAGGGCACCTTAATCTCAGCATATTCAAGCTTAAACTCATGATCTTCTCAATCTAACCTGCTCTTCTTGCATTGTTTATTATCTCAGTGGATGATAAAATCTGCTATCCAATTTCACATAATTTGACACCTTTATTTTTACTCCTAGTATTTAATGAGTCACAATTTTCCTCCTAATTATGTCATAGATATGTCACTTTATCTCTGACACTAGTCTAGTCCAAACCATCATTATATCTTACTTGAATATACAATAACCATCTAACTGGCTCCTGCAATTATTCCTTAACACAGCTGCAAGGCCAGACATTTGCAAACTGTCTACCTTTCAAACTTTGTCTTCCATTACTAAGCTACTTTCTTCTGCTTGTCTGTTCAAAACACACTGTTCTTTTGGGTATCTGAATCTAAATATGCCATGTTTTTTTTACTGTAGGGTTTACACACACACACACACACACACACACACACACACACACACACACACGCGCGCGCGCGCGCGCGCGCCCGCGAAGTCTTGCTCTGTCACCCAGGCTGGAATGCAGTGGCACGATCTCGGCTCACTGCAATCTCTACCTCCTGGTTTCAAGGGATTATCCTGCCTCAGCCTCGCTAGTAGCTGGGATTATAGGCACCCGCCACCATGCCTGGCTAATTTTTTTTTGTATTTTTTACTAGAGATGGGGTTTCATCTTGTTGGCCAGGCTGGTCTAGAACTTCTGACCTCAGGTGATCCAGCTGCTTCCCAAGGGGTTTTTCACGTATTCTTTCCTCTGCCTGAAACTCATAACCACTGATTTGGCTGTTTTTTCTTTTATCAAGTTCACCTCTATTCATTTTTAAAGCTCTTTGGTCTCTCTAGCACAGGCCAGGCTACTTTTTTAACTTGTTCTTCCTGCATCATGTTTCATTTACAACACATCTCAAATTATACTTACTCCTTCATTAGTGTGTCTACTTGTCAGTCTCCCTCACTATACACATAAGAATTTGGATTTTTTCTCTGTTTTGGCTTACCATTGAATTCTAGTAGCTTAGCATAGTGCTACAAATAGAGTAAGAACCATTTGTTAAATGAATATCTGAAACTAAATATAGAATAAAAACCAGGAGAAACACGAAGAAAAAATGAGATGCAAATATTAAGACGTTGAGAGCTTGCTTAGCCTATAAGACAAAGCAGATTTGCATTTTTAAATTCATAGCGATAACTCATTTTTCTTTTCTAAAGTTTTGATTAAATTAATTCAAACACTGGCAAGTCCTTGATTTTCAGTTTTACTGGAAGCATCAATATTTATTTTACAGGTTGTTTTTTTTTCCTGAGGCTATATCAGAAATCTGAGTGGTTGGAGGACTGCACCATTAGTTTATTACTTGAAAGTCAAGAAGAAAATAACTTCTCTAAGAATTTGACCCTGAATAGAAATTATTTCATGTATAACTGAAAGTGCTGTTGACTGTACAGAATGTTGACATTGTATAAAACAATGATCTTATTAATAGAAATGCTCTTTAAACAGTTTTCTGTTACTCAGCTTCTCATCTGGTTCTTTTTAGTGATTAACAGTAAACACAACAGAAATGGTTGAAATATTTGTCCGTTGCAATGAAGGAGTTTGTTCTGTCTGTATGGAACTCAGTGTTCCAGAGGGTATACCTAATCTGCAAATAATAATTTCATTACCTTAGAGTAATTTCATTGCCTTCTTGTTATAATCAACTGAATTGCCCAGCCCAGACACCCTCATTTCTTCATTCATTCAGACATTTACTGAGTATCTCCTATTTGCCAGATGCCCTGTTAATTGCATTAAAAATGAGTAAGAAACCATCCCTGCCTGTAAGGAGTTTCATTTTGAGATTGGTGTCAATTTTGTTGATGTTATTTTCAGACTGATGCAGTCTCTGAGAAAGTTTGTTTAATTTATATAACCTTCATAGGTTAGCCAAGATTCCTGTTGATCAGACTAACTTATCTATTTGTCATTTTAAAGGTGAACTCAGTCTCAGAATATTTTTCAATGACATAGAGTAACTCTGGAGACAATTATGACTAGATGAAAAATTTGAGCTATACTGATAAAAAATTTTAAATTCTTAGATCCTACATGTAACTTATGTTTATTAATGCCCCTGAGATGTGACCATCATATTTAGGAATTTCTCTTTTTTGATTTTTCCTAATTTTGAAGCATAAATGAATTCAAAGACTGCTTTCCAAAAATTTACATAATCCAGAAAGACATTTTCATTTAATATTCTGTTGGTTTTTTTTTTTTTTTTTTTTTTTTTTTTAATACTGGGTTTTCTTTTTTTGTGCACTCAATGGCTGCCACTAACCAATTCCTAGCAGCTATCCTTTCTTGAACAACTAAACAGGATCTTAGTTTTAGCTGAACAACTTGATGCTTTATTTGCTTGCACCATAGTATTTTCAAATAAAATTGATATACTCTGTGTGCAATTTGATTGATTGCCATAGGATAGTATTAAATTATAGCTTAGTTCAATTTGTAGTTTATTCCACCTAACTGTAAAAATAAAAAAAAAGCAAAAATAAAAAAGTAAATAAAACAATTTTCAGATGCACTTTTAAAATTCTTTTCATTTTTGGGTGGCTATTACACATATAAATAACATTTGATGAATAGAGTTCAGGCTAGGTGTGGTGGCTCATGCCTGTAATCCCAGCCCTTTGGGAGGTTGAGGCGGACAGATCATGAGGCCAGGAGTTCAAGACCAGCCTGGCTAGCATAGTGGAACCCCGTCTTTACTAAAAATACAAAAAGTTAGCCTGGTGTGTTGGTGCACACCTTTCATCCCAGCTACTTGGGGAGGCTGAAGCATGAGAATCGCTTGAACCTGCGAGACGGAGGTTGCACTGAACTGAGATCGTGCCACTGCACGCCAGCCTGGGTGACACAGTGAGACTCCATCTCAAAAAAGAAAAAAAAAAAAAAGAGTTCAGCACTATAGTTCAGAACTACTGTGGAGTACAGTACTTACCGTATTGTGATAGGGATGAATGCGTTTGTGTTAATGCTGTAATTAGCAGAAACAGTTAAAATATTTTGAGAATTTCCACATCCATATTTAACTGAGGGTCTTCCTTCCACAAGAAATAAATGAAGAAACTGCTTTCCAAAATTATTCCCATTACCTTTAAGAAAAAACAATACATCAGTAATTAATGTAGATTTAGATATTTTTTGAATAATATTCATTCAACAAACATAATCTTTGCCATGAAAGAAGAATGATTTAGGGGATTGGTAGGAGTGCTGTTAAGTAATTTTTCAATGTAATAAGCACCATTTTAGGAATATACATTATTTTCAACAGGCTGAGGATAGCATGGTATTAACATTAACTTGAAGTGAGTTTTAACTTCTGATTGTTACCTAGTAGCCAGATATCCTTAACTATTTTAAAACTTTCCTCATATGTTTAAATGAGATAGTGAGTGTGACTACTGTGAGTACTAGAACTATTGTCATAATTAAATAATAAATTTAAAGTGCCATTATAAGTTCTTATAACTTGTATTTATTATTGAATCTAATGTGTAAATTTTATTTTTTATTTCTAATTTCTTATAGTTATTTGTATTTTAATTACAAAGCAATATGCGTCTTTTACAAAATTCAAAATAAATATATAGAGAAAAAGAGAAATAGTTCTTTTCCCTAATCTCATTCTTCATCCTCACTTTGAAATGTTCTTTTCTATCACCTGTCTCCCCACATGCAAATATTTACATATCCCAATTTTATTTTAAAAAGTGAGATCATACTTTATTCAAAAATTTAATAAATGGCTTCATTCATCTTTCTCTTTTTACTTAAAATTTGGACATCTCTCCCTGGAAGCGCATGGAACTTTACTAACTGACGTGTAACTTACACAGAAAATAGCACAAATTATAAGCATAAAGCTCAGTGAGTAATCACAAAGTGAACCCACTTACCTAAACACCACCCAAGTTAAGGAAAAGACCATTATCTGCATTGTTAGAAGTCCTACCAGTAACTACTCTTTTCTATGCTTCACCAAAAGTAGCCACCATCTTGATGTTTAACAGCTATTGTTAGTTTTACTTGATTTTAATCTTCATATTAGTGGAATCATATTGTATGGTTTCTTTATGTCTATTGTAATCCTCTCTTTATGACAGTCCCAAAACAGGTGAATTACAGTACAATAAAATATCTTGAGAAGGAGACCATATTCACATAACTTTTATTATAGTATATAGTTATGATCATTCTGTTATGTGTTGGTATTAATGTCTTACTGTTACTAATTTACAAATTAAACTTAATCATTGGCATGCATGTATAGGAAAAAATGTAGTATTGATAAGGTTCAGTACTATCCATAGTGTCAGGTGGATCTTGGAATGTATCCCTTGGAAATAATGAGGGACTACTACCTTTGTTTCCTGCTCTGTGTTATGTTTGAGAGGTAGCATTATGCCACAGTTCATTCATTATCATTGTTTGGTAATATTCCATTAAATTAATCTCTTCAATTATTCTTTCTAGTGTAGATAACCATTTCTCCCCTAGGTTTTGGTTACTGTGAATAATGCTGCTATGAGCATTTTACATATGTCTTTCAGTTAAATTGCATCCATTTCTGTTGTGTACACATCTAGAAGTTGAATTGGTCTGTCAAAAAGCATAAATATGATTAACTTTAGTAGCTGTTGCCAGTTTTCCAAAATAATTGTTTATATTTAACTCTTTACCAGCAGTGTACAGGAGGGCCAGCTGATCCATAGCCTTACCATTACTTGGTATGGTCACCTTGTAGATTTCACCATTCCGTTTATTATAGCTTTAATTTTACTTTCCTTATATTGGTGAAGTTGAACATATTCTCATTTTTACTGTATGTTTTGATATACTCTTGTGAAATGTCACTTTGTGTTTCTTGATCATATTTATATTTAGTTGTTTGCTTTTTTTTTCTCATTGAATACAAGCTCTTTGTCAACTACATAGATTGTAAATATCTTCTTCAGTTCTGTAGATTGGCTTGCCAGTTTCTCAAGGGTGAGTTTGATAAGCATACATGCTTAATTTTAGTGTAAATCAGTTTATGAATTGTTTCCTTCAGAGTTATGATTAGTCCTTTCATGTCATGTTTAAGATATCTTTGCCTTCCCCAAAGTCATAAAGTTATTCTACATTAGCTTCTACTAAGCTTTACTTAAGCTCTGCACTCTACCTAGAATTAATTTTTCTGTGTAATGTAAAGTACGGAGTTGGAATAAACTGAATTATGACACTCAAAGACACCATGTTGTTGGAAGCTGTGAGTGTTATCTGATACTGTAAAAGAGACTTTGCAGATGTGATTAAATTAAGGAGCTTGAAATGGAGAGATTATCCTATATTATATGGGTGGTCCCTAAATGTAGACACAAGTGTCCTTATAAAAGAAAGGAAGAAGGAGACTTGATGGCAGATGAGAAAAGGCTGTGTGACTACAGAAGCAGAGACTGGAGTGATGCAGCCACAAGCCACAGAATGCTGACAGCCACCAGAAGCTGGAAGAGGCAAGGAATGGATTCTCCTCTGGAGCCTCCAGAAGGAACCAGTCCTGCTGACAGCTTGCCTTTATCTCCATAAGACTAATTTCAGACCTCTGACCTCCAGAACCGTAAGAGAATACAGTTCTATTGTTTTAGTGGTAACTTGGTATAGCAGCAGTACAAAAATAATGTGGGGGTCAATTTTTAATTTTTTCATTTTGATTTCTAATCTAAAATCATCAAAGTAAATGATTCTTAGGATGTTAAATATTAAATTCTCAGATGTTTATTTGTGAACTACATATGCTATAGAACTTACTGAGAATACAAATTCAGTATAAGAGCAACACAAAGTAATACATAATAATAAAAGATTAAATCAATATTGCATAAGGAAATAGATAAAATAACAGCATTAAAGATTTAATAATAAGTTAGAGTGACAAAAGGCATATGGTTGAAAATCACTCATTTGAGATCCTTCTAAATGTCCTATTTTGGGATCCACTGAACCCATCTGGGTTTTTATCACTTCTGAGGACTTCAGCTGGACGATGTGCAAATTAGCCCACTGCCTGGCATAGGGCAATGCAGCTTTACGTTTTCTGCATCTTCTGAGATCCATTAGCAGGTTTTTTTTTTGTTTTTTTGTTTTTTTTTGGCTTCACTCTTTAGTGTTTTTCCTTATTTTCCCCCAGCTTCCTATTCAGTTGATGAGGCTACCTTTATCCGAAGTTGAGGGTATAATTTAAAATTTTTAGTATTATTCTTGACCTTTTTCTGGAGTAGAAGTGAAGTGGTGGTTGGGAGAAGGAGCATATTTAGAAATACGAAACTGCACCAGCACTTGTGTGTTTCTCCTTGGACCTGTAAAAGGTTATACTATAAAATGGCATAAGGTTTTTCTTTCCTGAATTGTTGACTTGTTCTCTACTCCCATGATTTTGTGAGTGGGAAGGGTGGAATGCATTAAAGGACAGCCTGTTATCCTGTTGCATTCTATTATTTCAACTCAGAAGTTTTCTACTTCTTAATATTTTTATAAACTGCTTTGTTACCATTTCAGACTCATATTTTTGAGATAAGCTTTAAAAGTAAGATATATAGCATAGGGTAAAACAGAACAGCTGAACATTTAGGTCAAGCTGTTGTGCCATATGCACAAGGTTTGTTTTTCAAAACTTCCAAAACTGAATTTTAAAGATTGACTATACACATTCAACAAGATACATGTAGTATGATGCAAGAATGAGTAATTTTTAAAGGAAGCTCAGCATCAATGACAGAGATGAATAGTCTTAATCAAGTATACCAACATCCCATTATGGACTGTAGAGGCTTTATTGCATTGTATGGTACAAAATAAGACTATTTTAATAAAGGTAATGGGAATAAAAATGAATAAGGAAACTTAGTTCTCTTTACAGTCTGCTATATATTAATAGCTTTTAATTTACCACATTGATTCATTCTATTAAGCAATTCGTGGTTTTATGTAATACTTTTTAAAAAGTTCAAAGTATTCTGCAAATAGCATGTGATGGTAGGTGGGAAAGTGGAGGATCTGACACTGCTGATGTGTTTCCATGATTCTATAGCAAATTAACTGCTGTAGGGAATAAAAGACATATTATTTAATTGACTTTTTTCACCCTCAAATCAGTTGACTTTCTATCATGTAACCCTAGGATTCTATAAGTAGAGAAAAGCTATGAATAAACACATTCAGTAGGAACTCTGGTTTTGCCAAACAGTATTAAAGACATATTTTCAAACACAATTATGATAAAAATTATTTGATTTTAGAATGGAAAAATTAGTGGTAATTAGGAAAAGAGAAAGAAACTTGAGAATTTTCAAAGCAGAACTAGGAAAATTGTTAAGTAATGACTATTCTTAGATAAACGTATGTATTTTTATATTAAGCCTTATGGATTGAGTAATCCATATGTCATATTAAATTTAGTTCAACATTGCTCACTGAATCTAGACATCAAGCAAATGTGAATCTCTCTCTATGTATGTATATATGCATGTGTATATATCTATATCTATATCTATATATATATATGTATGTTTGCAAATACATATATAGGGCAAATGTTAAAGGCAGTGTCTAGAATATTTTCCCCATAATGTTTGTGCTACCTTCAGGCAGGACTTGAAACTCCATAGAAGAGTTAATTATTAAGCCACTGAAAGAAAGTCACTCTGTTGTTTCACTGAAAAGATGCTTGATGATCCATTAGAGAGGTGTGAACCTGTCCTCTTCTTGAAATATTAGGTTGGTACAGGAGTAATAATGGTAATCATGATCCTTTTAGACTTTTTGTAGTAATTTTCAAAATGAATTATTTATTGATTTCTTTTTCTGAAAGTTTTATCAGACTACATTTCAAAACTGTATAAAATCTCTAGTTCTCAAATTTTATTTATCCCTAATAAAATGATTGTGTCTGCTAATTTAAGATTTGTTAAGCATAAAAGTGCTGCTTAGAAGAGTAAATAGTAATTACAGTATTCCTCTCAAAACAATAGTTTCTAGTATCTAAATCTCATAGCTTTTAGAGAGATAATCCTAACAAGTTTGAATCTGATATGTAAAGATATATATAATTAGT